ATTGCATTTCTCCCAGCCCTAGCTAGGGTGAAACTCTGAGGGAGCAAAGAAGTGTTGGGGCCATTTCTGTGTCCTCAGGACCTGTGTTGGTTATTTTCTCATGGGTGAGACACAATACTAGACACCTGCAACTCCAAGGAGGAGAGCTTTATTTTGGATCACAGTTTATAGAGGTTTCAGTCCTTGGAGTTGGCTCCAAGGCAGGGTGGCATAGCAGAGGGGCATCACAGAGGAGAAACAGTCCATGGCAGGGTAGGCAGGAATCAATAAGAAGGATCAGTGGAGGAAGAAGAGAGATAAATAGACCTTTTCAGGCTAAGCCACACTTACTCATGTCCCTCCAATTAGTATTCACCTCCCAGCATCATATTTAGGTATAAACTCATCAGTGGACTAAGCCACACCTGAGCATCATGCCCCCATGATCCAATCCCCTCCCCAAAGCCCCACCTATGACCACATGAAGCTTTGGAGGGAGATCTAGATATAAAACATGAGAGGACCATCAAAACAATAACTGCAACCTAACCAGCAGTTAATTATGCTGTGTAATAAATAAGTTATCAACTAATAACTCTTTTTTCATGAAGAACTCTGCTTTCCCATGCTGTACATGAATGGTCTGATTCTTCATGGTTTCTCTCTTGATTCTTGATTTCTCTCATATTATTCTCAGAGTGATTACTGGGTTACAGGGGGAACTGTAAAGAAGCTGATGGCATGTGAGAGAAGCAAGAGACTCCCCATGAAAAAAAGACAAGGTAACATTTTTATTGGATTTTGTGATTTTTCAAAAGGCTCCAAGTCTCCTGTGGCCGCCCTTGATAATTCTCCAGGAACCAGGGATCTGTAAATTGGAAGAGATAGGTCTCCAGGAGAGACTGAGATGCTATGGTGTGGTATGAGGAGGCTTTGGGGAGCACCCAGCAGAAGACACCCCGAAAGAGATGAATACACAAAATGGACTTGGACTCCTCCCAAGCTGCCGGAACTGTAACCCTTACTAGTATTAATCAGAATAAAGGTTTGTGTTCTACTCATGCAGAGGCAACCCAGATTCATTGTAGCTTATACAATACTGAAGCTGATTACTCTGCTATGCCACTAAAACATGGATAGGCAGTTAGGTTGTTTTTTATTAAGATTTGTGGCAGGGTTTCAAACTTCCATCTTTTTCTTTTGTTATCCTTTGGGCGTTGCTTTGTGAGATGGTTTTGCCAACACATTTCCTGAGGGGAAAATCAATAAAGGGATTGGGAAAGTATGGCTCTTCTCTCTCGGAGCTCATTTTGGTAGTTGGACAATGCTTAACGTTAGTATCTCATTGGTTGGAATGCAGCCACAGAACCAAACCAGTCACATGACCAAAGCAAGCCACAGAGGAGTCTGGGAAGTGGGGTCTTTAGTAGGGTAACTGCATGATGAGATAAAAAGGAAATGCTATGCTTAAGGAAAAAGAATGCAAAATGGATATTGGGATCTCCTTGGCAGCCTTTTTTACCGAACACATTGACTTACGTTCTATCATGTTATTGGTCTGCCTTACTTTATATCATTTTGTTCTAATAGTATATCCACAATTCACAACTTTATTAATTTACAACTGAGAAAAATATGTATGACAGAAGGTGCCAGGGAAGCCCAGCAAGAGAGGGTAAAATATTGTTCCACACTGTAGCAATTGCAAGTCTTTTAATGTTTTGGGGTGTGTGTGTGTGTGTTTGTGTGTGTGTGTGAGAGAGAGAGAGAGCACTTTTGGATGTGTGAATTATTAGGATTAAAAATGAAAGCAATAGTTGAAGCGGGAAATGTTGAAAGGTTTTCAGAAGGGGCCTAAAATGTTTCTCACAAACTAAGTCTCTTTGCTACACCTCTAGAGGCTACATGTATCAGGCATGAGGAAGGGTGGCATCCCTAAAAGCACAAAATTTTGAAATTAAAACAGGTCACTTGTTGTATCACTGAACAGACAGGTGGTCCCCAAATCTGTTTTATTGTAGGGGAGCAAGCAATTTTGTCTGTACTATGTTCCACAGAATGCAGAAATGGATGCTCAGAACTCAGAAAGGTACCTTTCTGCAGTTCAAAGAAGAAAAGGAGAGAATATGCTTGGAATGTCCCTTCCAGCATCACAAGCTGCCTTTTCACAAAAGGCTCTTGTTTTGCGTAAATGAATGAGGATGATATGACCCTCTGTGCCTCAGTTTCCTGCCATCCTCCCCCTACTTCTCCCCCATCCCAGTGAGCACCTCTGAGAGGGCTACTTCCTGTGCCGTGTCACAAGGCAAACTGAAATCGCATTAGAATTGTAAATGAATTTGGGGGGTAGAGGATCCAATGAACTGGTTGCTGTCTGGAGATTTGATATTGATGCCAACCAATATATCTCTGAGGAGAGACGGCTGTTCCTCCTTCCTCCTTATTTGCTCAGAGGCATTGTATAAAATGTGCCACCATCTAATAAATGACGGCAGAACAGAGTGGAGGGGCCATAAATTCCATCCCTAGCACCTGGTACTAGTTGTATTTCAAGGTAATGATTCTATCGAGAACTCTGCTAGAATGAGCCCAGTTCATTGTCCCTTTTCAGAGGCCATGCCCAATTCTGGGTTACGCAGCCCCCTTCTCCCCTTATCTCACAGCCCCCCAGTCTCACACCCACGTGGACCTTGGCAAGGAGTAGATCATGCATGCATCCATAAGATGCTAAGAGCTGCATGCCTTGGATGCCGGCGGGGGCGGGGCGGGGGGGGTGCAGAGAGAAGAGCTGGGACAGGTTTCTTGCCAGGAATTTGAAGTTGGGAAGTTGGGCGTCCGAAGCACATGACAGGGAGATTTCAAGTGGGGACGCCATGGAGGGATGACTTGGAAGTCAGCTGCTGGCTGATGTGATGAGAGAGAAGCCAGGCTGGTCAGGGGAGGAGGGAGCAGAGAGAACTGACTGGAGCCGAGATGGAAAGAGAAGTGGAGAAAGGTGAACATCCCAAAGTGGAAAGAAGAGGGTGAGGAAGAAGAGGAAGACAGAGAGGGAGGAGAAAGAGAACAAGAAGGAGAAGTAGAGGAAGGAATAGGAAGAGAAGGCGGAGGGAGGAAGGGGAGGAGGAGGGAAGGGGGAGGGACGAAGGGAAGAGAGAAGAACAGATTTCTTTCTGTGAAAATACTGGCTTCCCGTGCAGTCCTCCTGGCATGTGTATGTCTTTGGTACTTTGTCTCTGGGTGTCATGAAATTTCAGTGAACTCTCACAGTAATACCCACTTTTCCCCTACTTGAGTTACCTTAAGAAGCTACCTGGTTGTTACAATACTTTTTCAAAAAGCTTGACTTTAAATCAGAATTAGCTAAGATCTATCGATTATTGACTACATACCATGCCCTATTCTTAAAGCTTTCTATATTATGGCTTTTTTATTTCTCAAAAATCATTATTCTTATGTTCACATTGTTTAGATGTGATAACTGAAATTGAGACAGGAAACTTTCCTACCCAGTAGGACTCAGATGCCACACTGAACCTCTGTACGAGGCTGTTGATCATGACCCCACGCGAGGTTATGTATTATCCTGAAGGAACTGTGAATTTTATGCGTGGTGTATTTCATGCATTAGTTTGTCCATGTGTGGCACAAGTTGAGCATCCCTGATGCAAATACCAAAATGTGAAGATTCAGAGCACAAAGATGATGCCACAGGTAGAAAATTCCATGCCTGACCTCTAGTGATGGGTTGCATTAAAATGCACTAACATACTGTATAAAATGACCTTCAGGCTATGTACGGGAGCCCACCAAAAAATGTGTACACACATTAGGAAAAGAAAAACTTGTGTAAGCATTTTAATGCTGAATTTATTGAGGCATCGTGAAATTAATAGAAGTAACCTTTGGCCTCTGCAATTACAAGAGGTGCTCAGAGTGGTGGCCATGAGCTTCCAGACATTCATTATTTTTCTTTTCCTGTAGTGTGCATAGGTTTTTTTGGTGGGCTCTGTATGTAAAGTGTAAAAGCAACATGAATGAATTTCATGTTTAGATTTGGATCCCATCCCAAAGATACCGCATTCTAAAAACAAATCAAACCCAAAATGGCCCCAGGCATCTTAGATAAGGGATGCTTATCTTGTATGAGGTGATTGACTATCTTGGATCAGCCCTGAGACTGACACTGTATTAAAGAAACCATGCCACAGCTTTCAGTGGACTGAACAGATGGCTGCTGTTGGTTATAGCGTACGAGAGGACAGCTCTAGAGGGAAAAGGACAAAGAGTTGTACCTACAAGGAAAACAACAATATCAACAATAAAAGGAACTGTCAGAAATGACTGATGAAGGAAGGTTGTTGTGCACACTGCCAAGGAGCAGTGTGAATCCCTTGGGTGGAAGGTGAAGACAGAACTCCTCCGCCTGAGTACCAGAGACAAAATCCTCACCCATATTTTTACTCACAATATTTCTCCAAGACTTTTGCTTTCCTTCCTTCTCCCCACCCTGTTATCTCACCCTGAGACAGAAAGCAGGGCTTCAGAGCCACATAAATCTTTCAGAGCTTCCACAGTTACCAGTTCGGTGAGATTATGCTGAGATCCCTTACTGAGTGTGGGTGTACAGACACTGCCACCTGGGAAGGGCACAGCGTGATGCAGTCAATGTGTATCCACACGTTTATCGATGTTTACAGTACCTAGACTCTATGCCCAACGCTCATTCTTTTCACACTCACTGGTTGTCCACATATATATGAACACGGTCTGTGTCCTCTGATGGATGCTTCCTCCTTTGTGCACATTCTATGCTTTTCCACACAAGAATAGGTCACCTTGTGTTCCTTGTTGAGACTTTAGCCCTTTCTCCAGCCGCTTACTGAACTAGAACATGGAAGTCTTTTGGCTCACATATCTGCAGGGTTTCCACACTCCACCTCAAATACTCTCCATGCCACCATATTTAATTTCCTCTCCCTGTCTCTCTCTCTCTCTCTCTCTCTCTCTCTCTGTAGTCTTACCTGTTGTGGTGGAATCTTCAACACTTGAACCGGTCCACTGACCCGTCTCCAGGATTGTTTCCACTTCTCTTTCTTTTATAGCTTCAGCCTCTTTCCTCTCCATTAGCTCCTATCACTAAGTGTCCTTGTCCTCCACCACCTTCTCCTTCTTCTCAGATTTTGCTAGCCCCTCCTTCCTTTACATTCTAATGCTTCATCACCTGCCTTATGACTTCACAAAGCTTGCTACATCACATGGTCGTGGTTCATGTCATTGATTTAACTTTGCCCTCTTCAGCTGTGCCTCCAACAATGGAGCATGGCTTCTTCTGAGCTGGCCTAGGTGGAGCTGCCCTCTCATACATCTCCCACAGTCTTCCAGCTGCCTAGATGAGTGGTCCCTAATAGAATTTTCCTTGTTTGACACTGTGATCAACTCTTCCTTCTTCCGTCCCATGCCAGTTAGTCTTGATCATCAATGTGACTGGAATAAGAGTATTGGATACGTGTTTGGATTATGAGGGCACTAATCTCATTGATATATTAACCTTGAGTTCTTACCCGAATGGGCTTCTAGGAGGTGGGGTTTAGTTGGTGGAAGCAGGCCATGGGAGACATGACCTCAGAGACTATATCTTGTCTCTAGGCCCTTCCTCTTGGATTCTTCCTGTGTGCTATCTACTTTCTGGCTGTCATTTGCTTCCCCATACCCTCCTGCTATGACATTTCTGCCTTGGAGCCAGCCTAACCATGGACTGAAACCTCTAAAACCATAAGCCAAAGTAATTCTTTCCTCCTTTAAGATGTAGATGTCAGATATTTTCCCATGGAAACAAGAATGCTGACCACTACACCCCTTTATGGGTCTGTGCCACCTTACATTACAAGTTCTCCATTTACCTCATGGAACAATTCATTTTCCTTTGAGGCTTACTGTTTCCCTGTCATTTCTTCAATATCCTATCCCTTTCTGCTTTTGCAAAAAGTATAGGGATTCTTCCAATATTCATTTTCTTCTCCACTCATTTGTTTACTCTCTCTTGACTACAGACTTTTTAAAGAAGTGATTTCCATTGTCCGTCCATCACTAATTGTCCTAGTCCATTTTCTGCTACTAATACACAATACCATAGCCTGGGAAAGTTTTAAAAAAGAGAGGTTCATGTGAGCTCATTATGGTTCTGTTGGCCCAGTGTGAAGGCCCATATTTGTTGGGCATCTTGCTGGGCATCTCTTGTGGTGGTACAGGACATCACACGGAAGGAAACAGGGAGGGCATTATGTGTGTATGTGTCTCTTTGGTTCTCTTTCCCTCTTCTTATAAAGGCAGCAGGATTTCATCCTGTGGGCTCCACTGCGATGGAATTAATCCTAATCACTTTCCAAAGTCCTGACCTCTAAACATCAAAGTCAGATCAGGTTTCCATCTTCTTCAAACTTCACATGAGTTTTGTAGATGAGAAATCATACTCAAACCCTAGCCACCACTCTCACCTTTATCTGGGGTTGTAGTTGGTCTTGTGAATTCTGTTTAAGTGTCTACTTTAAACTCAATGCGTCCCAAACAGAATGAATTAAGCTCTGTGTTCCCCGAGGGAGAAATAGATACAGCCTTGTGCTTCCCTTTGGTTAATTGCATTACCATCTTCCAATTCGCTTAACCTCAACATACTGAGATCACCTTCTATTTCTTTCTCAAATTTTCATTCCAATTTTATCGAGTTCTGTTGATACCACTTTAGAAATATCTCCTGGACTTGTAAACTTGTATTGATTCCAGATACCACTCTCTTAGTTTAGGGTCCTGCCATCTCTGATCTAGATTATTTCTGATTGATTGTCTTTCCGCGAGGTTCTTACACACTGTAATATATTCTGTGGACAAATCCTAGAACTATCTTTCTCAGTACTCGCTCCTTGACCTTATCTTTCCTGTATCCATTTGCTCTGGTGCCCATATTTCTCATGATCTAGCAACAGCAGATAACTTGCCATTTCCTCTCCTGGGTTTGGGCCTTACATCTGGGCTCAGGCTGACAGATTCTGGTGTCTGTAATGCCTTTTCTCCTTTTCTTCTTATGAAGTCTGTACTGATTTTTTGTGGCTGTGAAAATGCACTACCTCAAGCATCGCAGCTTAAAACACCTCACTTTATTCTCCTATAGTCATGTAGGTCAGAAGTTCAGGTGGATTGAGTCTCTTCTTCAGCTCTGGATCTCAGAAGGCTAAAATTAAGGTAACGGATGGTCTGAGTTCTTATCTGAAAACTCCGAGGGAAAGTCTCTCTAATGACGCATTCACAAGGCTGGAACGTTTCAGTTCGTAGCAGCAGAAAGTCTGAGGTCTTTCATTCTTTGGTATCTGTAAGTGAGAAGACATTGTCCACTTCAGAGAGTTGCCTGGATTCCTTGTCATGGTGCCTGTCCATCTTCAAGCTAGTTACGTGGGTCCTTCTCGTGCTGGAATAGCTCTGATTTTTCCTTCTACCACACCTTCCCATTTCCAACAGAGGAAGTACCCCATTTCTTAGAGTTCATGAAATTGCCTTGGGTCTTACTGGCATAATTCAAGACAGTGTCCATACTTTAAAGGTCCATAGGCTTAAATCTATCAGCCAGTGCAACTGTCAGATAACTTCACATATTCACAAGCTCCAGGAATTTGAGAGTAGACATTCTTTGAGAGGGCATTGCACTTACTATGGAAGTTCAGTGGTTTTCTGAAATGCGTAGTCTATCTCAGTACAGCAAATTTGATTTAGTTGCTTCCTTCCAGAAATTGCCTTAACATTGTGCTCATTAATGGTCTCTGACATACAATTTATGTAGGATTTTGTTGTAGGGGCTTATTTACAAATATGTTGCTCACCATAAATAATAAATTACATGAACTGGGAAAACATATCCTGATTACCTTGCAGAATCTAGCATAGTGCCTTATGTGTATTTGTCACAATGAATATGTTCCGTAATAATGAGGTGAATATTTTTCAAACCCTTGTTATGTCAGAGGTGCTGTGATCTCCAGATCCTAAGCAATTTGAACACATAGATTAAGGCTCATCATGTTAAGTAAATTGTGACAGTTAATCTTGATGGTTGATTTGTTGACTTGGTTGAGAGATCCTAGGGATCCATAAAGCACATTTGTGGGTGGCTCATCAGGGATGATCTTAGGGACTATATCTTGTCTCCGGCCCTTTTCCCTCAAGATTTTCCTCTGTGCTCTGCTTCCTACCTACCATGTAGTGAGCAACGTTAGTCCATCATGCCCTTCTGCCATGATGTTCCTCCCTTGGAGAAGCTTACCATGGACTGAATGCTCTGAAACCATAGGCCAAAAGAAACCCTCCTCCTTTAAGTAGTAGGTGTCCAGTACTTGGTCACAATAATGGAAAGCTGACTGATACATAGATATTCCTAATTGGTTCTCACAAGATGATATTCTGTGATGTATAGAGAAGAATCAATCCAATCCCATACATAATGCACTCATTGTATTTTTGTGTATTGCCACATAACAAAATACCACACATTTAGGAACCTCAAATGGTATACCTTTTTATTTCATTGTCACTGTATATCATACATCCAGGCTTGGCCTGACTTTGTTCTCTGCCTCAAGGAATTCCAGAAAGCTGTGATCAAGAAGGCATAGCCAGGACTGGGGCTTTATCTGACAGTGTGACTGGCAAGGAGTGGCCACTGTGCTGATGTTGCTGTTGGCACACACACTGCCTTTCTAACTGTTTGGAGAAGGCTCCCCTAGACCCTTATCCCATGGGCAATTCCAACAGGACAGCTTGCTTCCTCCATGGGGACAAGTTAAGAAAGCAAGAGTCTGAAGGCAACTTGGTGGTTATGACTCTTGGCAACTTAATGACAGGTGGGTTGTACAATCTCTATGGTCATTTTTTTTATTAGTTAGGAGCAAGTCCCTGAGGTAGCCTACAGATAGAAGAAGGCCATTTCTGAAGGGTATGGAATATGAGGAGGCAGAATCGCTGGGGTCTGACTGAGCATATGCCTCCTGTGTCCATCTACATGGAGTTGCAGACATTCAACCTCACTGAGTCATTCAGCAGAGTGAAGAGCTCTTCTGTGTAGTAGGAGGTGAGACTAGGAAAGGCAATTACAGAACAAGTATGACTGTGATAAATAATTAGATGGAGGGGCTGGTATTTTGCGGAAACAGATTTGGTGGATGGAGAGAAGATAAGTTGAAGACTAAGGTCAGCTGTGTTGAAATAAAAAAATCAAAGCATATCCTGGAAATTAACAATCCTGCTGGACTACTGCTAAACTCACAAAAGGAACATATAACACGATGTCATGCAAATATCAGAATACTTCTAGAATACAGACTCTCAAATGGTTTGGTCTAAGGACACCGTGTCCTATCATTGAAGAACCCACAGAAATTTCATTTAAAAGCTATCTATGTATTGACATTTACCAACTTAGAAATTAAAACTGACATATTTGAAAACATGTATAAGTTCATTTAAAAGTAACAATAGTAACTGTACTTCGGGTCAACATAAAAAAAAAGCTTATGAAAAAGATCTGTATTTCTCAAAGCAAAAGAGATCAGGAAAAGTGATATTAGTTTAGCTTTTCTCAAATCTTTTGAACAGTGGACAACCAGATTGCCATGTCAGCTGATGCGCTCCATCTTTTACAATGTATTATTTTGGTTAAGTATATAAAGGAAATCTAGTTATACTGGGGGGGGGTGTTGATCTGATAATGTTAGATATTCTCCCTTAATATTACACCAAAACCCAAGCATGGTAGTCTCCTAAGCATTATTTTTAAAGTGCAATCAAAACCCATATGTCTTAGTGACTTTCTCATCACTGGGGGAAAATACCCAGTGGCCACAGTTGAAAGGAGAAGAGGTTTATTTTGGCTCAAGAGTTTTAGAGGATTCAATCTCTAGTAGGCTGGCTTCAAGACAGGAAGGGCTTGGAGAAGGGTCTGGTGGAGGGACACTACTCATGTCATGGTGGCCAGGAAGCGGAGGGAAAGAAGAGGAGCAGGAGAGGGAGATACACCCTTCCAGGTCATATGCCCAGGAAATCATCCTCTAGCCCCACCTCCCACCAGCAAGTCCACTGTGGCACCTCCACGATTCAATCACCTTCCAAACACAT